ATGTGCTCACACGTGTGACTGAGCCTGCTCTTCTTTAGGCATGTATTGGTGCAAAGCAAATGGCCAGGCTGGTCACTTATTTGGACTGTTCCACTTGAGTGGCCACATCTTGATGGGGTCGCTGATAGCTAGTCTCTCATCTCAGCCCAACCAGTGGCGTGAAAGTTCGCTCACCCACAATTACGTACTCAGCTGATCATGAGAGTCCCCCGCTCAACCTACCCACACTCATGAGAACCTGCAACTATCTCAGAGCAGCAGTGCCCTGCTTTCTAGTCACCAAGGCCCACCGAAGGAGGCTCGAATCACTGTGATCACTTCATTCTCTTCCAAGTAGGGAAAACAACATAGTAAATTTTTAAAAACTTGTGAACATTTCTTGGGAAGTAAAACAAAAACCTCAGATGTCATTAAGGGATAATTTTCTTTAATACGAAGCTAGATTCCTGAGAAGTGGATGGGATAGTTCAGGACGAGCAGACACACTTTCCTAGATCCACGATGCCTGTTATCATTACGACCATGTACACGCTGCACCCATGGTCCTCTTCATTGCTAGTCAACCTCGTAGCATTATAATTCCCCACTGTATAATGAGTTTAATAATCATGAAAATGAAAGAACTTGAAAACAGGAAGGAATCGTCCACCTCCATCAGTCAATCATGTGAAAAACAGCCCAAAGGGAACCAGCAGTTAGCATAATGGCTATGTCGCTGGATTCCCATGTAATCGATCGCAGTTTGCGTCCGGACCCTGTGGCTTAAACTCACGCCGGGCGCGTGTGCATGCGTGCCCAAGATCCCGAGAGGAGAATGGAGGAGAAGGGATTGCGGCGTGACCATCCCCCCCTGGGGAGTGATTTCTCACTTTCTGTCTCTCTGTCTCTTTCTGTCTATCTGGCGAGTGCACACGCCCTATAGCAAAAAAAAAACCTCTCAAAAAAAAAAAAAAAAAAAAACAGCCCAAAGAGATGAACGCTTTCTTATAATCACAGATACACAAATGAAAACCGGAGTTCAGGTGTTGAACTCAGTCTTGTTCTAAGCTCCTTCCACACTTCTCTATAGTATCGGATACGCTTTTCCCCAACGCAGGAGTGCGTGCTTTACAAGCAGCTGCATGTACTTTTCACCCCATCCCTGACACTCACTCCATTTTCTACCATCGTAGGTGCTTTCCCTGGGGTCTCTGCGGAGATTTCTGAGGCAGTAAGAGAAGTTTCTACCCAGTCCCCTCATGTCCCTCTCTCCCATTCTCACAGGATCCCAAGAAGCTCAGAGCTTAATACTCATCACTTCCAAGGGCTCATGAATGTTGGGCAACCCAGCCACTCCCAGCGTTATTACAGCCACGCTGTTGTTTCACATGATTTTGTGGGACAGCACAAGAGCCAAAACACCATATAAAATATTCTTTTAAGAAAGTCATAAAGGGAACTAGCAGGTAGCGTCATGGCTATGTCGCTGGACTCCCATGTAGTCGACCGCGGTCCGCGTCTCGGACCTGGTGGCTTAAAACTCACGCCGGGCGCGTGTGCGTGCGTGCCCAAGATCCCAAGAGAAGAATGGGGGAGAAGGGATTGCGGCGTGACCATCCCCCCTGGGGGGTGATTTCTCGCTTTCTGTCTTTTCGGGCGAGCGCCCGCGCCCTATGGCAAAAATCTCTAAAAAAAAAAAAAAAGAAGAAAGTCATAAACAGGGACCAGCAGTTGGTATAACAGCTATGTTGCTGGACTCCCATGCAGTCGACCACAGTTTGAGTCCCAGACCCAGTGGCTAAACTCATGCCAGGCATGTGTGCGTGCATGCCCAAGATCCCGAAAGGAGAATGGAGAAGAAGGGATTGTGGTGTGGTCATCTTCCCTGGGGGGTGATTTCGTGCTTTCTGTCTCTCTGTCTCTCTCTTTCTGGCAAGCACACTCGCCCAATGGCAAAAAATCTTCTCCCCCCCCCAAAAAAAAAAATCATAAACAAACTATCATGCTTACAACTTCAGGGCTGTCTTTTTTTCTTTCTTTTTTTTAATTGCCAGAGGGTTTGTGTGCTCACAGAGAGAGACAGAAAAAGAGGAGAGGGAGAAAGTACCCGTTGATGGAATAGTCACGCTGCTATTCCTTCTCTCCCATTTCTCTATCCCATCAGGAATTTGGCCATGCACGCACATACACCCAGCATGATTTTCAAGCCTCTAGGCTCAGGACTTGAACCATGGTGGGCCTTGACAGATCCAGTTCCCTTAACCACTAGGCTATAGAACTAGCCCACAATTATAGCAACATTTTTTTTTTAATTTTTAATCCTGCCAGAGAACATGTGTGCTCATCAGAGAGAGACAAAAAAGAGAGAGAGGAAAAGGAAGAAGACATTCCCCAGGAGGGATGGTCATGCCACAATCCATTTTTTCTCCCTTTCAAGATTTTGGGCATGCACACACACAAACCTACTATGTTTTTCAAATGGCTAGGTTTGGGACTCGATCACACAGTCAGCCATGTGAGATCTAGCCGTCTTAACCATCATGCCACCAGCTGACCCTATAACAACTTTTAACAAGATCTCAAAATTCACATTTGAATCCTGTATCTCTATCTCTGCTTCAAACGACCATCTGTTATAGAAAGCTTTGAATGGTCTGAATTGCAACTGTGGCTCATTAGAACAAGAAGTCCCCAATTATAAAAAAATATGAAAGTTCAAAACCCTTGCAGATTAAAGTTCACTGAAGGTCTCCAGTTAGGAATACAGGATTTTATAGAATACCCTCTCATTGTTGAGCAAATGAACACAAGACGAAGTCGTGTGGGAGCATAAATCTTTTTACATATAACACAAGAAGAACTGTTCCAGGTATGAACATTTTTTTGGGGGGGAGAGGTTTTTTGTTTGTTTGTTTGTTTTGTTTTTTGCTATAGGGCGTGTGCACTCGCCAGACAGACAAAGACAGACAGAGAGATAGAAAGCGAGAAATCAACCCCTCCCGGGGGGGATGGCCACACCGCAATCCCTTCTCCTCCATTCTCCTCTCGGGATCTTGGGCACGCACACACACGAGCCTGGCGTGAGTTTTAAGCCACCAGGTCTGGGACTCGAACCGCAGTCAACTACATGGGAGTCCAGGGACATAGCCATTACGCTAACTGCTGGTCCCCAGGTGTGAACATTTTTGAAAAGGAAAGGTTTTTGTAGGATTCAAACTTCTCAGCTGCTACCGTTACCGGCAGGTGAAGGTACAGTGCAGAGGCAAGCTCTGTGGAGGGACAGCTGTTCACCATGCAGTCTGCGTCGCACCTGTGTCCTCAGCCCCTGCTCTGTGAAGCAGGCAGCAACAGCACCTCACCTCAGGGCTGACTGCAGGACCCAGGCCACATGTCACTCAGAACCGAGTCTGGCCCCTGGAAAGCTGTTTTTATTGCTGCGAGGGAATAAGCCTCTTCCTGAAGAGGATTTCCTCTAGTTTAAGCCAACATCTATGAAAAATTAGGTTATTTAATTTACTAACCCAAATTCGATTCATATCAGGTGCTTATTACTAATTCTCGAACTATGCACTGCCCTAAGCATTACCTTACCAATAACAAAATTCAGAGGAGGATGTTCCCCAAAAGAACCTAAACAAAATGAGAGTTTTAAAAGTTTATTTTATTCAGGAACGAGAACACATGAGCATACATAAGAGAAAAGGGGGAGGAGCGAGAGAAAGAAACACCTTCGACATCCCCTGTTCCCCACCCTCCAGCGTCTCAGTATCTTGGACACATACAATCACAGCCAGTGTGTTTCAAAGCCCATTGTGGGAACTTGCCCTGAGTCAGCCCTGTGGTCTCCAGCACTGCAATTCAGATCCCTGCTGGTGACCACCAGGCTGGACCTGGAGTTCATTGGTTTTTTTTTTTGTTTGTTAGTTTTATTTTTTAGACAGGGTTTCACAATTCTTCTGTCTCAGCCTCTCTGAGCAGTTGGGACACCAGAAGTGTTGTTAGTTTTATTTTTTAGACAGGGTTTCACGATTCTTCTGTCTCAGCCTCTCTGAGCAGCTGGGACACCAGAAGAACGGCTTTAGGGTGTTCTGGGCATGGGTGCTGCCGAGTAGCAGCACCTACCAACCCCTGCTACTGTGACAGGAATCAATTAGAGCTTTGGCCGACTAGCTGGCTGGAACAAAACGAACGTGTTTGGCAAAGTTTTAAGTGCATGATTCCTTCTCCTCCCCCCTCCCCAAATTTGCCTCCAAATAAAAGACTAGAATGCTAGGGGGAATAAGTCTCTAGACATCAGGTTTAGTTACACGTAAAGGAATAACACTTTGTACAAAAACTTGTATTTCTAAAATGTAAACTCATTTACTGGAGGAGCAACAGACGTTCCAAGGCATATTTAGAAACTTGTGTTTTGTTTTTAACCTTTTTAAAACTGTGCACTAATAACTGAAAACTACCCCTGGTAATAAAGCTAAAACGACCGCGCTAGCGTTCTGGCAGCCTACAGATGGGCACAAAGTCAGGGAAACCCTGTAAAAACTAAACACGCGTAAGTTCAGCGCTCTGACTTGAAAGCGCTTCTTCGGGAACTTCTGCAGCCTATACACAGCAGTGACAGCCAGACCGCGGGGCTTTCCCCTTGCGCCAGAACCCCGCTCTGGTGGTTTCCTACTCCCGTGGGGACAGAGGACTCGGGACTGTTGGGTGAAAAAGCGTTCCAAAACTTTCCTTAGGAGACACCGGCTGCGGGGAGGGTGCTGCGTCCGAGAAGGCGCGGGGAGCGCCTGCCCTTCTGCAGCCTATACACAGCAGTGACAGCCAGACCGCGGGGCTTTCCCCTTGCGCCAGAACCCCGCTCTGGTGGTTTCCTACTCCCGTGGGGACAGAGGACTCGGGACTGTTGGGTGAAAAAGCGTTCCAAAACTTTCCTTAGGAGACACCGGCTGCGGGGAGGGTGCTGCGTCCGAGAAGGCGCGGGGAGCGCCTGCCCGCGGGGTGACGGTGGGTCAGGGAGCCCCTACCTGAGTTCCTGAGCTTCTTGTCCCGGTACACGGACAGGATGACCAGGACATTGCCCAGGATGTCCACCACGATGGTGAAGATGAGGATGCAGGCCAGCGCGATGGCCAGCCCCGCGGGCCGGGGTGGCGTGCCGTCCACGC